TTATTATTATTATTATTATTATTTTAAGTTGTTAACTTTTGGATATTGAGAAAGTAAAAGGAATTTGTTTGTTTTGTTATTTATTTACTATTAATAAATTTTTTTATATTAATTTATTAAAAATATTTAAATAATTTCATAAAAATTTTTTAAACATTTTAATTTTTACTTTTCTTTTGAAATCAAGAAAATTGTTGTAATTCTTTATATATGTTTATCTAATTTATACCTGAAGAGAATAAGTTAGGAGTACAGTATTTATATATATATATTTTTAATTAATTTACATAAAAAATTATAAAAATTAACATGTATTTTAATATTATTAACACATGAATGATTTTAATTAATTAATTACTTAAATTAAAATCAATATTTATATTTTTAATAAAAATTAATTAAAAATATATTTATTATACATTTAATTTATATCTAAATACGAAAAATGAAAAACCATCTTTATATTTATATTATATTATTTCGTTTAACCAGTTAGTGACCAAATAACATATTTTAATTATTAATTAAATATACATATAAATAGTCACTACCCAATTGATTTTCTCACTAAAAATTATCAAAACTCAGCACTTTTCCCATAATATAAATTCTCCCCATTTTTAGAAAATTGAATATGACTGAAAAATTTCTAAATCAATAAACGGAAAAATATGAAAAAAATAGAAATGAAGAATGGTAAAAAGCAAATATGAAAATCCAAAAAGAAACTCTGAGCTTTTAGTGTAAATGCGGCCTCGCCTGTGAACCGTACCGAAGCCTTGGGGCTTAGCAAAAGAGTAACTACAGTGTCAGGCCTATGTAAAATTGCATGAAAAGACATTTAACCCCTTCAATAAATGACTATTAAAAGGGTATTTTCAGAAAACCATGTTGCGTGTTAAACACCTTTTAAAAAAGTGCAGAAATGGACACAAAACCAGTAAAATAAACCAGTATATTTATTTATTATTATTTTTAAAATTTATCTAATATATGAGATATAGATTAAGAGTACAATAAACTTATTTTTTAAATTAATTAATATAAAAAATTATAAAAATTAACATATATTTTAATGTTATTGGCATATAAATAATTTTAATTAGTTAATTGATTAAATTAAAATTAATTATAAAAAATATATTTATTATACTCTTAACTTAATATAGAATTAAAAAACTCTTATTTTTATTA